TTTAATTAATTAATTTTTATTTATTATATAAATTAATTATAAAAAATATATTAATTACACAACTTTAAAAAAATCCTCATAAATAGAAAAGTGACACAAACTGATCTTATAATCATTATTAATAAAAAGGCACATACCCTCTAATAGCGCAAGTCTCCATTAATGATCAAAAGAAACAGAAGGAAGTGCGAAATAGCATTTTCATAATATATATTCTTGCTAAGCATACAGGAAAAGAAAAGCATACGGAAAAAAAAAAATTTATAACTGCCAAAAAGGGTTTTGGATTTTTGTGGATTTTGATATTTTTGTCCGTAAACCAGAATCTGTCTTTTTGGTTTCTAATTTGTTTTTGTTTTTATTCATTTGTCTCTTATATTATTTAATTTTTGTATTTATATAAGGGGTTTTTATTCTAAAATTGTAAAAATAATTATTAATTATTAATTTTAATTAAATAAATTAAATATTTTAAATTATAAAATTTAATAATTATCAATTATTAAATATCAATTATTTTAAAAAATAATAATCTAGACGATTTAATAAAGTAACAAATCTTTGTTTTTGTTTTGTACTAATCCCAGCTTTAGGCTACTTTGACTATTTTCTAATTCAATTCATTGTATTATAAATTTTAGACATAAGGATGATGATTTGCTTGCCTCTTCTGTAAATTTCCCTTTTAATATGAATTTGTTCGGGTCAACCTAATTTTGGTTCCGTTGAAAAAAAAAAAATTGATTACTCATCATTGAGAGATAATTCGACTTTGATAAATTAGGAAAAATTATACATCAATAAATAGCTAAGGCTTCAGAAAGAATCTTAGAAGTTTTACCAATAAAAAATAAGAAAATGCAATTTAAATTCAGATACCAGTTTATTTTAAACAAGAAAATTAATTACAATCTATTTATTGTTTGCTTTGGCTTCATTCAACCTGTTCAAATCAATCTAAATATATTTTTTATTATTAATTTGTATTAAAAAATAAAAATTAAATTTAAATTTATTAATTATTAAATTAAATAAAATTATTTGACTTTAACATTAAAATTTATATTAATTTATATTTTTTTATATATATGACAGAAAATTAGAGATGACAATTTGTTTCAATCCTTATAAGATTTTATGAGAATCTGACTACAGGGACAAGACGAGAAAAAATATTCTTTTTTGTAGGACATGAACGGGGGCATTTTCTTCCATGAAATTTCACAAAAAATTTTCATTGTCCTTGTCCCGTAGGACCCCCAAAAAATTACAAAAATATATAAATTAATTTTATTTTAAATTTAATTCAATTTTTAAATTCAAATCAAATCCAATAAAAATTAAATTTAACTCAATTTTATTTAACTCAACCCAACCCAACCTATCATCAACAAGTTTGTTGATTTAATTATTTATATATAATTAATTTTTATTTAATTTTGATAATTTATATTTAATTTTACATTTAAAGAAATTTAATTAATTATACTTGAATTTTTAAATTTTTATTTATTATAATTAAATATTAATTAATTATATGTAAAAAATTTGTATTTTGAACTTAATTATCAAAAAATGAGGATTCCCATGAGAAACGAGGATAAAAGATAAAATTTACCCTCCGTAAAAAAATTTCACAAAAATTTTAACAAGAATCCCCATCCTTCACAGGATAGGAATAGAAAGGGACTCTCAATCCTGCAAGACCCGTTGATGTCCCTTAAAAAAAAAACTATCTTCCACACATTAAAAAAACACTTTCGTAAGAATGTTAACCAGAGAAACTGCATTTGCGTTTTATGTAGCTCACAAAAGGGGTTTATGATCTTTACACTTTTTCTCCCCTTCACTCGAGAAAATGAACCGGAAAAAATTCCATTGCAGATGAGTAGATGGTATGACTACAATTCAAAAGGAATGCCAAAGATTAGAGAAAGAGATAGAGGATCATATTGCGTGTATTTCTTCTGAAGACAATTACATCAGAGCCACTTTTGGCTCCATTAAACATAATAATTTGAGTTATTCATTGATATTCCGAGGAAGAAGCAATGTAAACCTTTGTCCACCATTGTTTCTCTCCTTTTATCAATTCAGTAATTGTGTATTAATAATTAAAGCAAAGCTTAAGGAAGGAAAAAATGTTACAAAAAAAAAATATTGAATAATTAATGACAAACAATGACAGTATCAGAATTTCGTGCAGTGTTGAGGCAGACCTGTTTGGCGATCAACATGGACTATTTCTGTGGCATTATCACATCTTAACACATCCTGACCCAGCTTGGCTCCTGCTACCTTTAGTCCCTTGAGTGACATTGCTTGGTTGAATAGGTTAATTGATGGTAGTTTTGAGGCTGGAGGCAATTTCCCATTAGGCAGCAATGTTCTAAAATCTTCCTTCAACAATGGCACCTCAAAGTCTGCTTTGTTGTGCCTAACAACGTTGTCTTTTGCGCTAATGTGAGCCCCGGGTTCCATATGGTTAGTTGAAAAGCTTGCCTGATTTGGGAAGTTTGGATAAATGCTGACATATCCTCTGAGGTACATCATGTCAATCAGGAATTTTTTCCAGGAAGCTTGCCATCCATTTGTCCTAGACTTGGGAATTTGAACCGGATTTGCCTTGGCATCTTCGGTGAACCTCATGTTCATGTAGACATAAAATTCCCTCCAATGCTTGGGGAAGAAGACAGCACCCCAGCTACAGGGCAGCTGGTGAAGATAAGGTGTATTTGGATGAATTCGCTTGAAGAATTCGGTTGCATTCCATTTAGGCCTTTCTTTCACTACTTCAACCAATTTTGGCGTGTAAAGAGATATTGAGGAGAGCTCAGGAAGGGATACTTGAGGGTCATAGTGGTAGGCCAGGAGCACATATTTGATCCAGAGATAGTAGTAAGGAGAGACTTCAATATCATCTTCAAGTAGTAGGCCATAGTCATCATCAGATGCAGGGTACCAACTCTCACTCACTGCTCGAATCAGCCCTCCTTGAATGATTCTCCTCCTAAGGGTTTTAGGGCCATGAGGCCACTCTAATGAACTCACTAGCCTTATGGTTGCCTCATCCACTTTACTGTCCACGTTGAAGCTGATGGGAATCTCATCCCCAAGATAGTAAGCATTGCTTAGAGAGTTCAGAAGTCTTGTTAAGGAATTCACACGATTTTGTGTAATTATGTTGATTGAAATCCTCATCTTGTTCCAATCTGCAAGTATCGCAATTGTGTAATTATCAAAAGATGTATAGGTAGATAGAAAGAGATTTGAAGCAAAAAGTTAGAATTCTTACTTGGTAATGCTGTTGATCTTAGATCAGCCATCCAGAGAACCTTTGACACAGAGGGCCTGGGCAGAAGAACTAATGTAGTTCCATTTCCATTTGTCTCAGATGCCATCTTTAAAGATTTCTTCACGTGAGGATCGATGTCAGATACTGTGATCAGCACACTAGGGTTGTGCATCTTGATCAGGCCTTTCATGCTAGAGTACACTGCTTGAACCACTGCTACCTCAGAATTTGATATCCCAGAAAGCGCTCCAATGGCCAAATCGAAAATCTTAAATCTTCTCTCTTTGCACACCAACTTAGGCCAGTTCAGAGCCGTAGCAGCATCCTCACAAGGGCAGAAACTGCCACCGGAGACTACAATGTAGACCTTCTTGCCAACTGTGGACCTGAATTTTTCTAGAAGAGGTGCTAGGGCCTCAACTTCATCGACAGAGTGGGCATAAAAGAGGGCATCAATCTTTTGGGGATGCATTGCTGCCCATTGAGTCATATAGCCGGTCGTCAGTGCTTTCCACCATTGATCATCCCGGACTTGAACAATGTCCTTGAAAATTACAGTGGTTTCTGAAACGTAAGCAAGCCTGTGTTCACTGTCTCCCCAAGTGTCCTTGTCTTTGGGATCAACTGGAAGAACAAACGAACCAGCATTTCTGTACTTTTGAAGCTGGTAGCTGCATCCATTTGCCAAAAAATTATAACCATTAGAAGCTTTAAACTATAAATATTTTATTTTGTGTCACAGTCACATAATGCTTACTAGGCAGCTTACTTGACACCATGAATGTGCTAAAACAAACGTCAGCTGATGTCTAGACCAACACGTTACACTTTTTAATGTTAGTAGACTACTTTAATTTGGAACAGCCAATCATCCATGCAGAAAAAGAGTAGTTGAAACAGGGCAAAGAGCATGCATCCTTGAAAGGAAATATTATATGGATGGTCTTTTCCTCTTTTTTTGAAACACAGATTACTTGTTTCTATTTTTGGATTGAGGCAAAAAGCAACTTTTTATATAAAATTCAACATATTGTAAAGAACAAATCTAAGTATTTGGGTTTATTAGACAAGGTTCAACTCCAAAAAAAAAAAAAAAAATCAAAGTTGTGGCTATCTATTGAATAGGTTACCCACTCAATAAAAAATTCAACTACTCTTACTAATCAAACCAATAAACTGAATAATAGCAGTTCAATTATAGACTTGCACGATTATTCAGTTATGGCTTTTTATAAAATTTCATGCAGCAGTTGTTATGTGTCCCAAAGTTAATAGAAATCACTGATTTGGATGCGAATGGTCATTCCCATTTTCTAAAGAAATGAAAATGTTCATTATGCGAAAAATATCAAGGATTTCAAGCAAATTATACATACCTAAGGTGCAGATCTTCGCCAGTCATGAATGTGAAAGGAGTCTCAATGAAAAGTGTCTTCACAAGCTCTGCAGACAAAAACCATGAGCTAGAAAGAAAATCCACCTGCACAATCCTATCAACAGTAATATCATAAGCAGGGTCAGGCAAATATAGTCCTGCCTCCTTTGATCTAAATTTTCTGTAACTAGGAAATGTGAAATCCTTCTGTCTAAAAGGCAGGATCCTCCCTATACTTCCCAAAACTGAATTCTTGTACTTCTCAGTCCCAGCTACATGGGATAAAATCTGCAGCATTTTCCTTCCTGGAATCATATCATCGTCGAGAATGTATACCAGATCAGCTTCTGTCTGTAAAGCCATTTGGAATCTGCCGTAGTACTTGAAATCATAGCTTGAGCTAATGAAGCTGATTCTTGAATCATTATAACTTTCTACGATTCTCCTCAAGGAAAGCTCATTCGGACTGCCAAATGAGAGCACCCAAACATGATGGAAAGGAAGAGTCTGTTGAAGCAAGGAATCCAGCTGAGAACACAGAGTTTTTCTCTTGAAATGGTTCAATATAACAGTGACTTTTGGTCTGTTTGGACCGCGCAAATCCCACTTTGATTTCATTTCCATTAGCTCTGCCAGAGTTTCAGTTCCAATTGATTTTCTCTGGAAATCCAATATCTCATCATACAGCTCCCTCTTCAGCTTGATCATCTGAACATCATTAGATTTTTTCTGCGAGAATTCAATCTGCTCATGCTCACAGACGACTGATGGTGTAACTGGTGGGATTTCAGCCGTTAACAGAGAAGCGGACTCCTGGTAGTGCCCAAGAACATGCTGTGGGATGATGAATTGCTTCATGTTCCGTGCAAAACTTTTAGCCCAAGTAAAGTCTGGCGCGGTCCTTAAATCAATTGCTGGACCCATATAGTAAAGAAGAAATGTTGCATACACTGCAAAGGCAAACTGGAGGCAGGTAAGAGCAGTCACAAACCGGGAAGAGGCACTCCGGGTAACCTTCACCTTTGACTTTCCTCCTACATAATCTGTAAGCATCCCTTCCAGGTAATCCCCACTTCTTGTATTTGAACTCCGGATTAAACCCATTTCATGAATTCAGATAGAAATTAAGAACGTTAAACCTGAAAAATCCAGAAAAGAAATGAGCACACCAGTCAAAATATGTTCCACCTCTAAACATAAAATTCATCCAGCACCTGAACTTGTTTCTAACCAAAATATCACAAGCAGAACTAGTAGAGAAGACACATAGCTCAGTCTTCTCTCATGACACCAAAGCAAACTCAACTTCCAGAACAACCAGAAACCCGAAATTGGCAGAACGTTGAAGAATTCAAGCTTGGAATTCCAAAGGGAAGAGAAGGGATGAAGAAGATGGTGAAGATGTTTTTGTTTGAAGTGATGGATAGCAACGGATCCCAAGGTGCCGTGTATATATATAATGGGAAAGTAACAAAAGTGTAAGTGAAGCACCCCATGAGAAATGCACCAAAGATCACATGGGCTAAACGCTTATATTACAAAAGCTGAGAAAATAAATTAACAATAGGGAAGTGTTGCTGAGTTCACCCGTTACCTTCATTAGTTGTACAAAAAACACCCTTAAGAAACCGCTTTAAATCCGGTTTTGCTGCCGCAGAAAAGGGCTTCCCCTGCGTTTTTGGCATTGCCCTGCCCCTTTTCTCCCCATTACACAAAACCCATATGCATAGTTTTCGTACATTTAAAATATTGGAAAGATCCTCCAGCATAGGGATTTAAGAATAGAGAATATTTACCGCTTGAATGTCAAACCCAAATCCCTATATCAAAATATATGCACAAAATAAGAAGAAAAGAGAAAAAGGCTACTTATTCATAAAGAAAGCAATGACAGAGCAGAGCCGAGGGAACCCCTTTTCTTCTTCAGCAAATGAAGCAAGATCTGGACCTCTGATTCTGTCTATAGCGGGCGGCTCACTAGAGTTTCAAAGAAGGAAGAATCAGGGAAATAAAAAAAATTGAGTAAACGAGTGAATTGGGGGGAAAAATTAAAAAGAGGATTAATTTCTGGGAAAAGAGTTGACCTTTGCATGAAGATACGTAAATGAACATGGCAGCAAGTTCGTGTTTATGGGTTTTTGCCAACCATGTGTAAACTTCGAATGAGTGCGGGAAAACCAAGAATGAATTTGCGTTTAGAAGGGAGAGATGTTCAAGAAAAGGGAATTAGAGCACTTAAGTTTTCTCTTCTTTAAGCAAGTCTGTTATCTTACAGGTGAAATGCCATTAAGTTCTTCGAACAGGTGAAATGCCATTAAAATTTTCAAACAGGTGAAAGGCCATTAAAATTTTCAAGGATAATAATTAGGAATCAACTTAGTTAGGGTTTATAATTGATATCAGGAAACTGGGTTTTAAATAAAGTTTGTTCTTTTAGAATAATCAAGGTAGAATCTGACAGACCCCTGCATCCATTTCTTGATTCCAGCAATTTTTTCTGCAATTTTTTTCAAGTGCTTATTAATATTTGAAGCATCTCCGGTTAATAATTTCTCTCTGTTGCATAAAATAGGTTCCTATGAAAATTATTCCTAAAACCAATTAGTAATTAGTAATAGGACCCATCTTATATTTAACTAACATGGTTATTCATTATATACTCGAACACGAGATTTTCCTATTCAATGTGCCCGACAAGTGCAAACTAACGGTAAATGTTTAGTTTTATCATGTGGTTAATATACCTTACATATAAGTTTGGTGTCCAACTTTGGGTCCTACCAGGTGAGGAGGCTTATTGTGAATGTTGGGTTTTGTTATCGAAGTTAATACACCCTTTACATGTAAGCAAGATATCTAATTTTGGGTTTATCAAGTGGCCCAACAACAGATTTCCCAAAACAACACTTAAATTCTAATACTATATGAAAATTATGTATGAATGCTTTGTAAAAAAGTAATGATATGGAGAACAAAAATTTGAAACGAAAATTTAAGATAAATGAGGTAGCATAAGCCATATTACTAAATTAATTAATGTATACAACATCAGTTTTAAAAAAATAAAAAAAGTCGATTATTAAATAATATAGAGTCAACTTTTTAATATTTTAAATGACATGACTTATATCATGTCATTAGTCTCAAATTTTAGTTTCATTTATTATTATTATTGGTAATAATTAGCAATACTAAAGCATGCATTTAACCTCTAACCTTAATAAATTTAAAATTTTTAACACCTTGACTTATATTATGAAGTTTTTTGCCCTTTAACTTAAAGGTTTGGAGATTTTAACCCATAAATTAATGAAATCCATTAACTCTCCATTAAAATAAAAATAAAATATTTATAAGATTAGTTCTCAAAAATAAAAAATGTAACAATTTA